CCCATTTTGGGCTCCATACCATACGACAGCAATGCTCTCAAGGAAGAGTCGGCAGATTCTGGGTTTCACTCTCGCTTTCATTACATCACATTACATTATTGTCATTTAACAGACGCTCTTATCCAGAGCAATTTACATGGGTTACAGTTATTACCTATTACCCATTTATACAGCTGGATATTTACTGAGGCGATTGTGGGTTAGCTACCCTGCCCATTAGCAGGTACAGCAGCAGTGCCCCAGTGGGGAATCAAACCAGCAACCTTTCGGTTACGGCCCTGCTCCTCACCGCTATGCTACACTCCCACCCCATCGGGTATCTCACCACAGAGATGCACGAAAGCAGGATGGCACTTGCCGGTAACTCACTGAGGTGTTCGCCGCCGTGCGGATCTGCTCAGATGTCTGTGGAATGGAGGTCGCCTCCCGGGCGAAAAAAGAGCAGCTCCAAGGCTGTGATTTACTGTTCCCTTTGTTGATGCCCCCGGAGAAGGGGAACATCCCAACCTGGGGCTCAGGGGTTTTAAACGTTACTGGAATTGCTGTTATCTCTCTCCCCCCCCCCTCCTCTAACAGTGATAAGAGTTCCGGATGGATGCGGGGGTAGTGGGGGGGTGTTGTTAAGTCAAGCAATTCTTGCGTGTCACCTCATCCATCACCAGAATGCACTAGCACTCTGGAGTGCCCTGGGGGAAGGTGGGAGGGGTGTCATTAAAGTCTACATATTCCTGACTTTCACATTCCCACTTCAAAGGAACTCAATTGGCTGGACTCATTGGCAGTCACTCAGCAGTAATTCTTTACTTTACCTTAAAACACACTTAAATTATTTCCACAAGAAGGAGAGCTTCGGTGACGTGAGGTCCAATATTAAACGTTCCAAGCTCTTTACATTCTGCAATCTTAAAAGGACTACCAATCATAATATTTAACCAATTTTGCAGACTCCAGTCGAAAGCATTCATGAAGATATAGGCTTATTGCACAAATCAGAAAAAAGCCCAATCTTTGTCTTGTGCATCCACACCAGAATCATGTAGCTCGAGCCATGCTGGGAAAGGTATAGTGATGGATTTGGATATGATGCATTGCTAGCTATGAGACAGCAGTCAAAGCAAGCACACAGCAGAAACATTGTAACAGTGGAGGTGGGCAGGAACACTACTGACTAAACGCAATGTTGCCTTACAGCCAATGAAAATCGACCATTGATGTGGAAGCCCTATCAGGCACACACTCTGAATTGCCTCTCCTCTCAGAAGAAGCACCCAAACAGCCTATACAAGTGTTAGTAGTATTTACTCATTTCCTTACCTAGCTGATGTGTGTATCCAGAGTCACTTACGTTACATTACATTACTGGCATTTAGCAGACGCTCTTATCCAGAGCAACTTACATTGGTTACAATTTCTATAATGTTAGCCATTTACACAATTCTGGGTTATGTACCTTTCCCAAGGGTACAGCAGCAGTGCTCCAGCAGGAAATTGAACCAGCAACCTTTCAGTTACAAGTCCTGCTCCTTAACACCATGCTACACTTACCTCTGACCCATTTATACAACTGGATACTCACTGAACATATTCAGGTTAGCCACGTCGATCTAGGATGTGTAGTGTTCCCCAGGGATTTGAAACCACATCCATCTGGTGACAAGCCCCGTTTCCCCTACTGCTTTGCCTCCCATTCATTTTGTTCTAATCATCACCGCATTGTCCGCATTCCTCCTTTGGTCTCATTAATAAAATTTCCTCAGTCAGGGACTGGCTCAGACCTCTCCACAGGAAGCCCATAAAAGGCAGTAAATGTTCCCTCATTGAGGTTCATTAATGAAGGTTTTGGGTAATAAAAAGTGTCCACGCTGTGCCGTAAAGTCCTGCGAAAGCACCCGGGAATGATGACTGCGCGCCCGCGTCCTTCCGCCCCCTCAAGAGGACATCGGGAACGGGGCGAAAACAGGAGGGGAGCACCTGGCCTCGTTTAATCCGCCCCTCGCCCTCCCGTGGCCCCCGTGGTCGCGGACGTCGCTTTGTTCTGATCTCGCCGAGGCAAGAAAATCGCGCAGGCCGAACAGCGTGAGGCAGATTCCTGCTACCGCGGCGTTCGGGTTTATGGCCCTCCACGCAAAGCCGTCCGGGAGAGCGGGCAACGGCTAGAGCCAGAAAAAACCCAATTAAGACGTCAATAATTCAAACCAGGGGAACTCCAGGTGAGGCAAGCGCTCCGCAGGCATTTCAAAAAACTTCCGACGCAAAGGATTTGTTTTAAGGACATAGTAAGGATGAGAAACAGGAGTTCTGAGGTGTGAGCTGCAATAACAGCACAGAGTGGAGGTTAGGACTGTAACTAAACCATGACCAGATCAGGCAGAATCCTCCATTTTAAAACGCTCGGGAAAATAGGCAATCTGCCATTTCTACATTTGCATTTACATTCATTCATTTGGCAGACGCTTTTATCCAAAGCGACATACAAGCCATATGAGGAGTTAACAATATTAGAAGCGCAGTTTCAATAGTTGGCCAGACAAGATATGCAGACATTATATCAGCCTGCACACAGACCGTCCACAGTAAAGAAAAATACTGGGCTGCTTAACCAGGGCTAATGAGGCAGGGAAACAGCCACATACCACTTCTTTAAAACAGGCATTTGTCTGCGTTTTAGCCATTTCGCCTCTATGAAGTGACAATTGTCATTAACTCTAGAACGGGAGGCATGTGATCACACCTTGCCTGCTGGCCACTGAGGCTAGGCCAGTCAGTTTCTACACCATGCAGGACTTTTTCTGCCTGATACTGAGGCTAGGCTAGTCCGTTTCAGCATCAGACAGGCCTGTTTCTGCTGGATACTGAGGCGGGGCTAGACAGTTTCTGCATCATGCAGACCTGCTCCAAAACAGAAACCAGCTGGGAGGCCTGAATATCACACAGCTAATGGCTTACTAAGCGAACAGAGTCCAAAATGTAAAGCCTCTATAACTTCAGCCAATCAGAAGTGACTCTGAATGGGATGTCTTGCAGGCATGTGCTATTGTTCCTGTACGCTGTGAAGTTTAGGGAGAGGAATCTGAGGGGTTACTGCTTTGTTGGGGGACTAGGGGGTGTTGCCCTCTCTGCATGTGTATTTGGAATCCCTGTGAAAATACCCCCACATCCCCATGCGATGCCTGGCTCCCTTTTTCAAATTTACAAGTTCTACCGTTCCCCTGGCAACCTATTTTTGCCATTGAAAAGAACCAATCATTTAGGGGCTGGTAACTAAGCCCTCTGTTTATCTGTTACCAGGGGTAACAAAGGCTGCAACCCAACACTGTCTCAATGGAGCATCATGGAGAGACAGAGAGAGAGAGAGAGAGAAAGAAAGTGAGAGAGAAAAGAAAGAGGGAGAGAGAGTGACAAAGACAGACAGAGTGACAGACAGACAGATGGACAGATATCACACTGCAGCCTACACATTGTTGAATTGTCCAGAAATCATGGAATTAGAAAATGTTTCAGTAAATCATAGTTCCAAATCAATGAGACAAGTCAAAAAATGTTTATGCAATGTTTTTTTAACCATTATAAAAGGTGTTTATGGATCCCTCTAAAGGTGCATCCAGTGTGAAGAGGAAGCTGAGGCCCTGTGCAGTCACAGCTCAGTGGACAGTGTTTGACTCCTGGCCCTCTGTGTTATAGAGGACACCGAGACAATACTCCTGCATTCATCCTCCCGAGGCTGAGTCTTTGAGCCCCGTCCCCTCCTTCGCAGGCGCTTCAGTGCCTGGCCCGGGCTGCCGGGCGGCTTGCTGATCCGTGTCTGAGCCGAGGCCGCCGGCGCTTGACACGGGAGAAAGAGCTCGCTTTCAGGGGGCTCCCCTTCTCCCTCCCTCCGCCCCCCCCTCGCACACACTGCGCTCCGACACACAATCGGCCCTCCGCAGACGCTTTGTGCGACGGTGACAGAAATCCGCAGGGGGGACAATGCGGGCCCCGCTCCCCGGGTTTAAAAGATTTTTCCCGGGGGCTCAGAATGCTCCGCGTCGCCATGGCGATGGCCCGCGAATGCCCACGCCTTTGCCGGGCCCCGGACCGCCCCGGCGCGGCCTAGCCTCCGAGTTACCCTCTCGGCGTCAGGCAAACAGCTCCCCTCCAATCAGAGGGGGTGAGCCGGGTTACCCAGATCACCCACCTGGCACCGGATCAGACGGCTCGCTGCTCGTTACGCGAACGGGTCAGAACGGGCTCGGTTGAGCGTTCTGCAGTAAGAATCTGAAGGGGGTCGGACAGTGAAATTCGGGGAGATACGCTGGCAGTGGCGGGCGGGGTGGGGGGTTGTCTGGGGCTATTTTTCAACAGTAGAGGAATAAGGACAGCAACACATGTTGCTGTGTGAGAGCGAAGAACAGACAGAGCTCGGGTTACATAAGCACAAAGGTATTCCAGTGCAGTGCATGCCCACGCGGTATTGTCATCACTGTAATAATACGCCATTTACACTTTATCAGTTTCAGCGCCTGCCATTCAACACCGCAGTGCTGCCACGATGAAGCATATACATACCAACGCTCTGATACTGCCCCATCTCTCCACTGACAAAGCCACAACTCCCAATTAAGCCTATATTCCTGGCTGGTAACACATTTTTAATAACAATGTTTACCCTTGTAGAACACAAAGTGCAGTTATTCTGTGTTTGACTAGCTGATTTATTTGGAGAGGAAATGGAGTTTTGAAAAGGAGAATGAGCTTCAAAGCTGTGACAGGCCTGAACAGGGAGTCCAACGGTACATCATTTCAATACCTTCCTATGAACAAGGCCCTCTGCAAACAGCACACCTTTCAGCGCAAACACCATTGCCATTGAGGAGTTACTACATCACATTACACTAGCATCACTTAGCAAAAGCTATTATCCAGAGCGACTTAAATAGGTCAAAATTTTACATATTAAGCATTTATAAGGCTGGATAATTACAGGGGAAATTTTGGGTTAGGTACCTCGCCCAAGGGTACAATGGCAGTGCCTCAGCAGGGATTCGAACCAGGAACCTTTTGTTTCTGAGCCATGCTCGTTACCACTACCCCACACTGCCACCTCAGTGAGTTACTAATCAAAGACAGGGAGGGAAGGAAAGACAGAGAGAGATTGGATAAAAAGGGGAAATTCTGCAGTTACAGTCAGTGAGAAACAGGATGGTGATGATGTCATACACTTGAAAGTCCCTGCATTTAAAAAAAAAAAAAAAAAAACCTGAGGAATCCCTAAGTGCTGTATACATGTGGTTTGTTATGACATTCTAGGACAGCAATGACTGAATGATACTTTTAAAAGCATCACAAAAAGCCGCAAATTAGACCTCATGTCAATGAAGGGGCAACATGCTGGAGCGCAGTGAGTAGCAACATACAGTCTAAAGAAGTTATTACTGTCAGGCTATGAGATATGAGGGGATTATTTAAGGCTATCTCCTCTCCTCCCTCCCCCCTCTGGACATCGGAAGGTCAATCGTCACCTCTCATATCCAGCCCACCCCGGCTAAACCGCTCTTTTGAGTGATGTCATCTTTCCCCGCCACAGTAGTTGGCACGTGGCCCCCAGGGATTGCCCGTGAGCAGGGCAGACGCAGTGAAATTCTCCAAATGGGGGTAGTGGGGTGACAGTTATGGAAAGGGGTTGAAGTATGGGAGGCAGGACAGACACAGGGGAATGCCACCGGAGCGGAGAGCAGTGACGGACAGGGATCAGGGCGGGGTGGGGGCAAAGAAGCTGGGAGTGACGACAGATGGGGGGCGGGGTAAACCACCACAGTGTTGGAGCCGGGCCGCGTGACGGACACAGTACAGCCGGGCCGCGTTTGAGGAATCCTAGGCCCGCTTGCAGGACACAGGCAGCTGTTGTGGTGGGAGCCCCAGTATGGAAACTGTCACCCCAGCAGCAGAGTGAAGCCATCATTCCTGGCATGACAGGAACCCCGCGTCTCACTGCCCCACCTCAGGGAGGGGTTCAGGCTGGAGGCACGGGCCTGGAGCAGGGGGTGGGGGGGGGGGCCGGGGGCTGGGGTACAAGGCCCAGCCACAGATGCCATTAAGACCAAAGTTGAGAGAGCACCAGCTCAGGCTGCTTTGAGCCGCACTTTTGGAGCGCTTGGTCAATGTGGATCAAACCAAATTACATTTACATTTATTCATTTAGCAGACGCGATGTACAAAAGTGCAATTCCTGATTTCTCTCACATGACCATCTAGACTGTGCCAAAGATGACTCTCAACATAAGCAAGAACAGGATAAGAAGGCCATTGAGGACATTCATGAATGCTATTTGATGCACTGTATTGCTGCATTAAACAAAAATTAATAAAAAGGATGGCACATTCAATCAGAATGAGAGCAACCAAGCAAAACCCAACAGAATCATGGGAGTCTCACTGTTTTCTCTCACCTGTCCCACATGGATTTGTCATGCCAAACACCGCTCGATCAGTTCCGCCTTGTTCCTTTTCCTACATGTTATTATTCCAACATTTCAAGTGTTTTCACTTCCAGAAGAATGTGTTTTGTGAAACACGTTGCCCTCATACTCATTTTTACTGCTGTGGTATTTGCTTAGCAGACACCCCTATCCAGCGTGACTTACAAAGCTTACATTTTCCACATCACACATGTTTTACGTACAGCTGGTATTTACTGAAGCAATTCAGCTGAAGCGCCTTGCTAACTGCTACAACAACAACACCCTGATTCATGCAACCTTCTGGTTACTACTTCTCTGGTAATTATACGCCATTCCCCCTCCAATATCATCTACACACAATGAAATGTATAAATGTAAAAATAAAAAAGAATCTCAAAAATCTTGACTTTATATGACATGCTAAGGCACCTTAGAGGAGCCCATGCTGCTCCACAGGGAGAAGGTTAATTGATAACTCCATTGTTCCAGAGGATCACTGTAGGGCCCTTTTCAGAGCAAGCTCATCCCCATTGTCCTACACCCCCCCCCCCCCACCTCCCCCTGTTAGTGCTCTGTGAATTCTAACACCCAGAGGAGTACATAACACCCTGAACGGCGCGAACTGAGGCCCGGGCCTACAACAAAGGCTCGGAGCATTAGCATGCGGCAGGACGCATTCCACACGGAGAACACCAGCCTCCCACCATGAGCCCATTGTTCGGGCATTTGCATACTGGGGGACACATAAGTTTCCAAGGCATTCTACATGCCTTCCACATCAACCGGCGATTCGCACTGGGTTTTAAAAGCATGTAGTGTCCCATTACAGTCAATGGCGTCTTCTACACCAACCCCCGCAGTGGCCAGGTGACTTTCCCGCCTCTGTGCCATCACCCAGCTTGATGCGGTCTTTCCCCTGTTGCTTGGCAATTTCTACCTTGTCATGACAGGAATCTGCCTCCACGGACCCACCCCAACAATTGCACATGCTATGCGATTCTGGCACGGCACCACAATGCATCAGTCACGGGTATTATATAGGAATTGTTGCACGCCAACTTCGGATTAGGAGACTACACAACTCTCACGAATGCATAGCAATAGTCAGAGACCTGCACATGCAGAGAGAAGCATGAGTAACTTTTCTGTAATGCAGTAAAGAGGTGGACTCAATTTCTAAAATCAGCAGAAGTAAGAATGGCACAGAGGACATGTGACAGTGGTGAGCGTTTGGATCACTGTGTGGTTAGTGTGGTTTTTTCCACCGCCGGTGTTGCGTCTGACATGTTTTCCAAGTGTGAATGAGCTTTAACAGCGGGGACATGTCTCGCTGTAATGCTTGAAACACGAACCTCGCTGTAGTGTTTGCTCAGTTTGTGTGAGACGACGGAATTCCTCGGCTTTGAGCGGTGTCACAGCGGGGCTCCCTCATTGTCCCAGAGGGGAGTGAGAGGGACTCCCCCGGCCTGCAGGCACTGGGTCACCTCTTCACAAACATGCCCTTAAAGCCCTCTGTGCGTCAACCCTGTGACTCCCAACTAACGGAATTCCAGCAGTCAGCTGTTTCAAATTACATTTTGGTATCATTCTGGACAGACACAGTACTACTGTAGAATACTGTCCCATACTGTCCCAGTGAGTTTTGGTTTGTTTTGTGGGAGTCCAGTCACAGTATGTGCATTTGAAAATATTTTGCAGAGCAGATATTAAAGATGGTTTCAGGGATATACCTATCATGCTTAGATTGATGACACCAACACAGCTGTTATTAATTCTTTCCAGAATAAGAAAAAAAGCCATAGAGAGACACTGTCTTAGCGTTCTCTGCGATTAATCAGGCTTTAATTGATAATAATTGATTATTCAGATTAATCAATTGTTATTTGACTGAGCTAACATCCCACTTGTAGTGCATACATACATATTTGGAGTTTCTCACAGACTTTCATGGGTTAATGACAGATGTGGGTTCAACAGTGCACGATTCCAGTGTCAAGCCTGAGTAACGCTGCCCGCGTGTAACAGAACTGACCCATGGGAGCCGGGACCCCCTCAGCTGTTCATGCCAGTTCTGGCCTGACCGATCTCTAAGAATTGAGCAAGGGGGGAAGGGGTCAAAAGGCACTTTGTCAAGAACCAGACTCCCCGCATTCCCCACTTACCAAAGTGGAACACGAGGCAAACTCTCTGCATGGACATGCACGATAGCGAAGTGCTCTATCCATAATGATGGAAATGCTTGTTTTATTGACTGCTGCAGCTAGGCCAGTATCTACAAGTTTCCCCTTTAACAGAACTGATGTAGATCATCTGTAGATGTGATGACATCTGATGTGAATACCTTCAATTTCAATGGCTGGCTACAGTTGGAAAGCAGACTTGGCTTCTGGTCTTTGGCTCTGGTCTTCGTTTTTTTTTTTCTTTCTACAGAGCCTCAGATAACATTTATCTCCACCTCTCCCCCTGTTCTACGACTAAGGATAGAGGAGCAGCCACCAGGAAACATTTTCCCCAGTATGTCTCACACCTCATATATTACTGCATTTTAACCTACTGTATTCCAAATGGAAATGAGATAAAAGATTTTGCCATAGTGACAGCTGCAAACAAATCATTTAAAAACAGACTAAATGGCAAATTCCTATGGTAGACCTTGTTTAAAGTTCAGTGTGGAAACTGATACACTTTTTCCATATAGTCCATTTTAATGTGATTGAGATGACATTTTCAAGAGATTAAGAGATTTGAGTTTTCTGTCTCAGAAACAAGGTTAGACGGTTGTGTGAGACTTGAACGTGTGTGCATATGCATATGTGCGAGTATCCGTGTGACAGAGTGTGAATGTGTGGGAGGGTCATCGTAGAGACAGGTGACACAATCACCATGGTGACAAGGTTGCAGAGTAAACAGGTAAAGGCACACTCAACAGTCTCTCAGCGTAGAAGCTGTAGGCAGGCTTACACTATTTACCAAAATTTCAACGTGGCTTGGCGGAACTGAAGGCACAATATAATTCAATTTCTACTTCTAATATTAAAATGAGTAATTCACACCACTACCTTAACGTTCTTTATGTTCTTTACAGCCTTCTTTTAACATTGTTTACCGCACCCTACCCAACTTAACTAGATCACACCGTGCACTTCTGGCTAGAGGCATGGGTACAGCAGCAGAAACACTAAGAGTGCGAAGTCTGAAGTGTAACGGCTGGCCGATCTGTTGACGTTCAGTATGCTAACAGAACAAACAGGGACATTATCATAACAATGTCACCTGGCCCCAGAAGTGAGATGTTTCTCGGCAACTGCCTATAACATAGGGGGTGGCAGGGTAAAAGTTTACAGTGCCCGTCCTGCCCAAACCTAAAGCCCACAGTAGCTGGAAGAGAAAGTATGTAAAGAAAAAAATATTACATATATTAATGTCAATGCATTCAACAAAATCAGTTTGCATGGTTGATTCTCATCCCAAGTACAGGTACTGTTGTTTCGGGTGAGTTCATACTTATGCAGAGGCTTATGCATCGCTTTGCCTGAGACAGTAGCACTGTGTTCACAAAGGCAGTCCCTAATCGACTGTCCAGGCTAGGATTCTTTACCTCATAAAAGGCAGTTTGCTTTAACAAGATTAATCACTTTGGG